ATCAGGTAAGGCTCCGTATAATTAGCAAACACATCTACATTTCACTGATGTCACTTAATTGAGTACCTTACTTGGGAACCAAAACCCGTCAAACACGTAGGGCAGCTCTACCCCAAAACAGTTCAGGTTAGAGCTGCTTACTAGTTTCTTGAGGACTTGACCGGATCAGCGCTTACCTTAGTGCTATCCAAAGCCATCACACATGGGCTTTTTTGTTTATTTTGTCCAAACACCTGTTTTTACCTCAGCATTCCTCAACCTCTAAACTTGTGGAGGTGTGGGCGCAAAAAAGCTGGTGTGAAAACATGTGGGCGTGGGAGAGTTGAGATTTTCTCGACCGACGTTATTTACGGTTTGTTGTTTACTCGTCATACAAAACTTATTTAACCTAGGGATAAGTGAGCAATGTTTAAACCAATACCGTGCGACGCCTACCCAGAGGATCGTAGGAAATTACGCTGAGATTGTCTGGACAAGATACCTTGCTCGGATAGCTAGACTTTTAGGTTCGTTCCATTCCTCCCCAAATTACGTTGAACCCAAGATAAAGACTTTTGTGAGATTTGCAAGGTTTTCATGTTACTTGTAGGTTTTGGTCCATGAAGCATTTATGGTGTGCTGCACGAAGCAACACCGCCGAAATTTCATGAACCGTTTACGGATAACAAAGCCTATGATGAAATACCACGGACTTGACTTATACACCATGTGGGAAGAAGCGGGTCAGGAGATCCGCGTTGCGGCGGTGCTATTCAACGTTGTAGGCGCTTTGAGTGCATGCTGGTTGCACTCACACCTTATTGATTTGACACGATACTTCTACATTAAGCTTCATTAAATAAAAAAGGAATGCCACGAGCGTCTGTCTGATAAGTGTTCGCGCGACTTGGATCTCTTGACCGGCACCCGTGTAGCCAAGGCACGTCGTACGTTCAGCTACGGGGGGCATGTATCTGCCGCTGAGAAAAATGGTCTAAATCGCTGCCTCTGAACTTTACTCAATTTCCCCTTTCGTTTTCCCGGTGGTGATCCATGCGGACGATTGGGCGTTTGAGGCGGCGCGGCTGGCAGCGCAGCCAGGGTGACGTGTCCGAGCAATAATGTCATGCTAATTTCGCTACAATTGGTGAAAAATCTGCTCTGCTGCGTTCCAAGCCACGCCGTCGTCCTGCGCCTTAGCATTTCCAGGGATAACGACTGTATGCTATATATTACCACCCCTCCCTTCTCGATCTTCCGACTTCGCCTAACATTCCCTTCAAGTTTTCCAGATCGACGTCGACAGAGAGAGAGGGAATATCAACGCTAATATTATTGTAACCGTATTAATCAAACAAAGTGGTTACCACTTCTGTCTCCATTCAAAAAAACTCCTTTTTTCTTCGATAATGATCTCTCAGCACACCGACTGCAAGCACCACCTAGTCAATCGTGAAGAATTCAGTTTATACGGTAACAGTTCGTTTCCAGAAGTCGTACTCAGGCGAAGAAGCGCCTCACGTTGGTGTTGCACCATACTCTTATTCTACTCTACTCATGCTCGTATTCGTGCTCTTATAATGTCATGACCCCTACAAATGTTAGGGCTTGGGACGCGGCGTAGAATAAAGAGCTGCAGTTGCACCAATGATTACGTCATGTGAAAATGGTCGGAAAGATCTGTTCTGGCAGCGCTCCAAGTCACGCTCCGTGGTACGTCCCGTCGCTGTAGGAACTGTACGCTCGTTATCCCTGATATGGAGTAGGCGTGACATTTGGACATGGTGTGGATTATTCGTGGGATATGTCAACTTCAGACAGCTGTCATCTTGTACTTTGTTGGAGACATGACCACAATTGACAATTGTTCAAAATAAAAATATCTAACCCTAAAGCACATTCACCGCCACGTTCATTTAAAATACGCAGCCACGCCTACTACATCTCAGGGATTTCGAGTGGATGTGCGCGCATTTCTCTCACCCCAGCACTTTTCCCCAGGATCTTTTCTTCCCCATACTGCTGATTGTAAGCAGTCAAAGACAACCAATCAAAAATTTACTTATTATTTAACAACAATTCGCTGGAAATCCACTGGGGTATAGAGATCATGAGGTCATCCTCAATATAGAAGACGTCAGCTCTATAAATATTATGGAAATTCCTATATAGTACATTGATCCATCTTCGGATTATCGATCAATTGCATAATTTAAAAAGTCGCTGAGTCAACACTATCGACGAATGAGTTGCGTCAACCAATCGGATAGCATAAGTTGCCTTTTCCGCATTCGAATCCATCCGGGCAGCTACCATCCGGGCAAGCTGACAGGCTTTGCCCTGGTTGGACCTTAACAAAGTAGTATTTTTGTAAGATTTAGGTGGTCAAACTGGGATTACCAGCTCAGTTCACCAGTAAGGGACTCTATCTATTAGGTTTCTCTGACAATTAGGCTTCCTGATATTTCGTTGAAAACAAGTACTCTATTTACAGCACTTTGCGATGAGCCATGCATTCAGCTTCTATTTCAGAATCACAACCACAACAATAGTGGAATCTCATGCGAGTGACCAAGAATTTGCCGACCCCGCACATATTTCATGCACTCAGTCTGTTTCTTTTTTCTACTATTTCAGGCTATACTACCGCTTTTTATCGTTGGTTACTCGTTGCCTAGATAAAAGTCTCTTCCCGTTTCGCTTTCGCTTACCCTCGGTGGCAACAGTTCAGAGCAGGGCCGCAACAGCCGGTACCGCAACCGGACATTCAGAGTCACTTCCCGATGGGCAAGTTCCTGAAATCAGCAGGTCACTAATCACGTGAAACTTTAAAAAAGCCTGAGAACCTCCTTACCTGAACTGGCTCCAAGCTGCAAATCTGCAAACAAATATTTCGGCTACACAAAGTGTCTCAGCCGGACAAAGACCGTTTGGGGCACCACCGACCACCGCACTGGCCTCGTTACCACCACAAACAGCATAATTGCGATTTGGCAAATCAACCACGATAAAAAAAGTCAACTTACAGAGTTGACATTGTTGAAAAATTTAACCATAAGACGATTCAAAGTTCCGAAAAGTACCCGTAGTTCTCCAGTATGGTTCAGCCGGCGCCTAATTACAACTGGCATCGTTTATTCCTCATCTCTAAAACGGAGCGAGTTGATCAAATTTCTTCTTCTAAGGTATATTTGGACAAAATTTCGCCCCAGGAAATGCTGGGACACCTTCATCACAAATACTGCACCCCTTTCGATAGAATGGTAGACTTTAACCGTTGTTATATGACGCTATCTAGACGCCACATCTCGGACATATGCAGAACACAATCATTGGTGGGGGAAATGCTTTCACATCACGGCGCTCACTTTTCAAAAGGGCTCGGCGCATTGGGCCACAGATTCATTGAGGCGATTACAAAAGTGATGGATCCAATTTCCGCTGCGGGTTTCTGGTTATCTTCTATAGGGACAAAAAGAGCTTCAAAAACACCCTAAACCCGGCGAAAGAGAGCTCTTTTGGGCAGGAAGGTTCGGGTTCTTGGACAACCGCTTTCTCTTTGAGGGAAGGTCCAAACTTGGGGACCCAGAAAATGAAGATTGCATGATAAAGGCTAAAGGATTTTCACCTCAGGGTTTCTAGCACGTCAGAGCCCATATGTTCACTACCAAGGAACTCGCTACGGAGAATGAACTGCACCTTCCTGGAGTCCATGAACCTAACAGGCATGCAAAAACCTCTTTAAAAAATGGGTGCATAACCGTAAAAGACCCCTCCCCGTGTGGTGGTTACAGATTTTTGAACACTTCTGGATTTGTTAGTGGTCTCCCACACTCATGTTTATCACAAAAATGAACTTATACGTTCTTCCTCCTGCTATAATACGTGAAGAGTTATCAACGGCTAGGATGTGCGCTAAATTTATTTTGAGCACAAACAAACTGGGATCGAAATGGGGTTCTATCTAGGGCAGGTGGCATGTTTTTTGTGCTTTTTTGTTTACAGTCGAGTTACTCAACCCCTTGTCGTCTATATGGAACCCCCTAATCCACCATCTGAGATGGCGAGTAATCGCGGGTTCTGCCTTTAAGTAAAAATCTGTTAATTTTGACCTCCATTGCTGACTGTGCCGGTGAATGCTGCGGGAACCGGGCTTCGTCGAATACCGTTTGAAATGATCACTGGACCAGGTCCAAACTGAAAAAAATGGGTTACTGTATTGAAGAATCCTTGCAAAGTGATGCCCTCCCGGCTGCAGTGAATCTAGAAAGAGAGGCTCGCTCATTGTTTTTAAAAGCGGTTTTTCAATTTTTTTTCATGTGAAGTGGCTTTGAAGCAACTTTTTAGTAACCTGTAAGACCCTCGAACTCACCTGGGTTAGTGGATTCGTGTTACTGTAAACGCCATTTCCAATAACATTGGTAGTATAGGGGTTGTAGTAACCATTGTTGAAGCCAGAGTAAACCACAGACGATCCAATTGACGGCCAACTATTCAGCGAGTTGTATCCGCCGCAGCAGGTACTCGCACACGGGTTGTACTGACCGATGTACTGCCTGAAATGCTAATGTACTATGGGCAATTCTTATCTAATTGCTCTGTGCAGGCTTGACTAGACGTACGATTGCTGAGGCTCCAAAAAGCTCAGCAGGTGTCGGCTTTGTGTAAGCAGAAATGTCAACTGACCCATTCATGTACTGTCCATTGTACTGATTACAATTGAAATTACTGCAAGATGATTGACAGTTCGAGGAATAGTAGTTGCTTGGGAGGATAATTCGAGCTGCTACCTCCACAATTTGAGCCGCAACCGTTGTAATAATTACCACATCCTGAAAAAAGTTATTGAGGGAAAATTCTACGATGGTCGTGTTGGCGAAGCCTCCCGGGTATGTGGCAAGAGAATCGTAATTCGCCGCGCCAGTGGGCGTCGCGTGCGACGTCGCGCCCGCTAATGACGACGATTTTAGGTGGTATTGGTCGAGAATAGACAATTATGCTCAAAAATAGGTGTTGTCAGCAATGCCTACATGACCCATTCCCAGAGCAACTCAATCCTCTCTCCTTCTCAGACACGTCGAATAGGTAGAAACCCGAATCCCGGAGGAACTCTGGAGTGAGCCACACCGATGAGCTTTTTCCAATGATAAGAAGGCTTGCAGATGATGATAGGGCTGTTCGGTATCAGATGGTCTGTCCGAATTCACATGTGTACACAACTTGCGGGATTTGGCATACACCCCTATCCCTGAGCCAGAGTAGGCGTGGCATTTGAACATGGCACGGAATGGTTACTCGTGGAATATTCCAGTCTGGGACAACTGTCATCTTGTTCTGTGTTGGACAGAGACATGACAACGATTGTGTCAAGATGAAAATATCTCACCAGAAGCACAGCCATCTTCAGGTTCAGTTGAAGAACGCAGCCACGCCTACCCGATCTCAGGGATTTCGAGTATACTTACAAGCGCTTACAGGTGCCCCCACCCAAGGTTATTAGCGCCAGAATCCCTCTCTCTCAGTACAAATAGCCCGGTAGACAGTCTCAAGAATTGTCTCACTTCCGCGGCTTCACAATTAGTGACTAGAGCGCTGCATTCGTGTTCCAGCGCTCTAGATGGGTGTGGCAACTTTAATGGGTGGCGCTCCTTCAATCTATCGCTCGAATGCTCGAATTGCCCGAATCCATTGCCTCTGCTCTCTCGCCCGCGCATAGATATCGCGTTTCTCTGGACGTACAGTCCTATCCAGGGCCTTTCTCAGAGTGTCTTCAACCCTTTTCCTCACCGCTGAATCAACCAGCATCTACGAATTCATATTTGGACTTGGAACCCAATGGTGGTATGCACCTTCGACAACTGCTCAACCAGGTCGCGCCGTGT